TAAAGCCCTCTTGTCGCTGCCATGTGCCCTTTCTCTTCACCGCCATGTTCATACCTACACAAAAGGCTTTGCTCGCGTACCTGTGCCAGCGACAGCGTGCTCTGTGGGGGTCATCTGCTCTAACAGGTCCGGCTCTCAGGGACAGATTTATTGGGGCATTTTGACTAACATTTGCATAACCCATCAAGATCTGTGTGGGAGCTCTCACATCCCTTATTACTGAAGCCGAGTCACGGAGGGCTGCTCCAGCTAGCAGCAAGGGGGTTACTGCTCTGGAATCTCAGCTGATGAGTCAATGCAGGAGAATGCAATAGTCACATACTGTCTCACACTGTTTTATAACTGAGGATAGCCTACAGCCAAATTAGAAAAGAAACCAAGAGGTTCTTAAGAGAAGGGTCCGACCTGATGAGGCCACGGTATGATTGCACAATTCAATGCATCCAGAGGAAAAGGAAAATGTCACTGGCCAGAAATAACCAAAGCAAGAAGATCCCCAATGGAGAAACATACTCATCTTCGTGGATGCACCCTTACTGATGCAATAAGTGTGGGTGTGTTATCTAGCTTTCCCTAATGACCAGACTCACCGAAGGGCCTACCAAAAATACAATACAACAATCGAAGCTGGAAACGAGCAAAATTCCAAGCGCATGAGCAGCATCCCTGATCACTGTCTTCTTCATACAGTGCTAAGGGCTGGGGCATGCAGAGCACGCCCCACTTAGGAGGCTCAAGAAAGGGAGGAGGGAGCCAGGAGATTGGAGACAAGAGCTGGAAACTGAAGCCGCCTTTCCTCTCTCTCCACCTTTATTAGAAGTTGGGTGAATTCAGACCGCAGAAGACTGAACACAGAAGCCCACTATGATTGCTACTGTCAATGTGACCTGATGTTTAGAGGTGATTTTTGACCCGTAAGCAGAAGATCAGAACAGCTCGCACATCACCTATGCAGCCATACAGCCTTAACTGCAGAAGAGAGAAGGGAGGAGTGTCTGTCCTTTTTAACAGCAGAACAGGGCAACCTGGGTGCTGCTCAGAGGCTGGTAGAGTATGAACCCCATCTGCTCTCTCTGCCCTTGCTACCAGCGCTGTCCTCTGCTAAGAATACAGCATCAGTGCACATCTGCTCCCTACCTCCACAGCTGGTCCCATTCTGAAATCTCAGCACCACCTCATGTGGCTCCCAACCACACACCCCATATATTAGTAGTCTGGGAGGTGCATCTCCCCTCAGTGTGTCATCTCTGGGCAGGGGGAAGGGCAAAATTAATTTATGTCTGTACGAGCCCCGTACATACGTCTCCTTTTCTCTAAGGGAGTTTGCTCTCATATTTAACCTCTTCATCCTGCTGGCACTGGAGGCAGATGATGCAGTTTGTAGAGAGGTGCAGGCGCTTCACTCTCCCCCTCCCCCTGGAATCTTCCTCTCACTTGTGGTCCTTGGGATTCACCCAATGTTTCTCAGAAAAAAAGAGGACCTCAAGACAAGTATGCATTTAATAAGCAGTGAGACAAATAAGCTCCGGTTATCCCAGCAGAATTACAACACCAGAGAACAATTTTCTGCATTCCTCTGAAGGCCTGAAGGAACCCAATTGCCTGCTCTCAGCCTAAATAGGTACCAGACACCAAGTGCTCCATAAGCAAACAGAGCCCCCAAAGTGCAAAAATGAAATAAGTAAAAAGCTTCACATTACATATAAACCAGCCGTTTGCACCTTGTTATTAATGGCCTTGACTATGACCTTTAAACCCTGCCTTGCTCAGAGTCATGGATCTACGAGCCTTGGCACCCTCACAACAATTCCAGGACGAGGAGCAGGGAATAAACAACCCTGGCCCGCTCCAGAGGAGATGCGGGAAGGGAACTGGCCTGCGACAAACCTGCACCGAGAACCACTCCAGTGCAGCAGCCAGGGCTAAGAGGTGACCATCTCCACTATGAATTTGTCAACATAACCTCAGTGACCAGGGTTTCTGACGGCATGAAGAGTCCTGTTGCCACATATATGCATGCATTACTAGCTTTTATGCATGTATCTATCCCTAGTTTCAAAGAATGAAGGGCTCACAGCATGGTAAATAACGGCAAGAGGGCTCATTCCCTGGAGGATAATTCTGATGTGGTTTATAAGCCCACATGAACTGGAGTTGCCTCAAGCAGACCCTGTTACGCAGAAATATTTTAGTCTAAACTGCCTTGCCACTGCTTTAAGAGTTTTATTACTATAACAGCGCCAATAGCCAGTGGAAAGTTTTACCCCTTGAAAGCTGTTCAGTACAAAGTCATCACCTCTGGAGATGACCCTGCAACACCAGTGGCTGGAGCGTGCTCTGGAGACACGCACATGCTTGGCTTGCCCTTGCATCCTTCCCTGGGCAGCTGGTACCGGCCACTGCAGACCTCTGGTAGCACCACTGTACCGTCACGATACACTGGATTGAAACGCTCCTACAAAGGGGCCCGTTACAGACTGAAGCCATGGCCGTCACTCTCCCAAACTGATTAGTTCCTCAGATAAAGTAGGTATATGGTAATAGTACACCTGATGGACATTTGTCAGGCTCAAAGGATTAGTGTGTCTAAATGACATCAAATAGCCAATAGCATTTAGGTATTAACTTCCAAATACTTCATTTAAAGTCAGCCAACATTAGAAAGTTCGTTCAATAACAAGATAACAAACCATGCTTGTGTGATCTCCCCAGATGCATATGCAATAAAAGTCCTGATCCACAAAGATCTTTAGACACTTCATTAAAATCACTGGTACGATAGGGCAAATTCACACAAGAATTTAGTTGCCTAATTGCCTCACAAACAATAGCTTTACTATCTGTGATAACACTTCCCTCTTTCCTTCCCTTCCTGTCCTTTTGGGAGATTACTTCTGGAAAAGTAAGAGGTTGGCAGGAAGAAATGCAGCATTCCTCTTCCTGGACATTCTGATCAAAAACTAATCTGTCATGCCATGGTGAGACGCTGCGAGCAACAAAAAAACCCCAACAAACCAAACCTACCCCAAACTCAAATCCTGCCTAAATGAATCAAAAAGACTGTAATTACCCCGTTTTACAAATATACATCTTAGCATCAGGTATATAAATAAACGCTGATTTTCAAGTTTCTTGACTTTCACTGGCTATTCTGAATGAAATGAAAATTTGAGAAGTCTACTGACATCCCATACAGCCTCGTGGAAAGGGTTTTGCCATCCCAATGGCTCTAAGGTCACCCTAGTGCACGTGTCAGGGAAATGGCAACAATCAGTGCTTATCTGTCCTGAGTCATAATTGTCTTTTTTATATATACACACACACACACGCAACTTAATTGCATGTGGATTGATATGGTATTACTATGGTATGGATCAAGTGGTGAGTCCCTGCTCCTAAGCAGCAAATGAACGTTCCTATAAAGCATGAACAATCCTGCTAGGAAATCATACAGAGAGCTCCTCCATCCTCAAGAATTACTGGCACTTCTAGAGAGACAGGAAGATTTTCATTACATAGCCTGTTGCCAGCTATACTTTCAGCATAAGCCCATCCCCTTTCTGTTACTGTTATGTCAGGGGAGGACAGTGAAAGAAAGCAGCTCTTGGGATGATACATGGGAGGCAGTGCTTCATTTATAACCCCACACAAATGCTGGAAAATGTTCAACTTTAAAAAGCATTAGGTTGGTTACCTTATGGGCCCCTGCGGACCAAGAAGTGAAATTACATGAACACAACATATCTATTAATCACCACAATGATTCCACAGTGAGAAACAGCCCCAATGGCATACATTCAACTGGAAAGAAAGTTGAGAAAATTACCTACTAGTAGTTAGGCAACTCAAAAAAATTTGGTAGTACCTTTCTGTAGGGCTCCCCTCTTGACTCCTCAATGAATTCAAGTATTTAGCTTGGATTAAAGCCCAGTCAATAGAAATATACAGTGGAGAGTAACAATGGCATTTCTACTTGAACACGTGTGTTTCCTCTCAGCCAGAGTTACAAATAAGCTACACTTATATGAGATGCATAGGTGACTGTCCACTTCATAGTACTTTGTTTACAAGGTAAAGAAGGATTTAGGGGGGGAAAAAAAAAAAATCATTCTCAGTCTTCTGCGTCAAGATAGATTACAGGTCAATTCAAATTGACCTGTAATTGATTGATTTAGGTATTAGTTCAGAGAATAGAGTAGGCTACAGCAAACTTCTTCCATCCAAGATTTAGAAACTAGAATAATTTACACCACCTTTGAAAGAAGCCATTAACATTGTGGATTACATCAATCCTTCACAAAGATCAGTGAAGATTAAACGTGTAAAATCTCCCTAGTTATTATGGGTAAGTACATGTGTTTATCTGTAGCATGTAAGATGATGGACAACTTTTCATGTGCTCAGAATTAGCGTTTATCCACAAGCCTGTGCTATTTCTATCATTTCCACTTCTAAGAAGCCTTGACTAACATGACCCTGCTTCCTCAATGCCGAGCAGCAGACCCGAATGTGAAAAAGTAGACATTTTCTCTAATGCGGGAGAGTGGAAATGGAGGTCACACCAATTATCTCAAACCACTTGGCCGCCACAGCCATCTTTTCACCTTTGCCGTAAACAAACCCTTGTGGCTGGCCCGTATATGAAGCAATTCCTTTGAAGAGTGCTCCACATCTCAGTTCTCTTCAAGTCTGGATATCAACAACGACAGTACTTTAGAGTAACACTTGAAAACTTCAGGTCTCCCAAAAAGACTCCCATGCAGATATTACAATCACTTTTGGCAGTTTCAGAAACCATCCTGTTCTTCAAGGTAAAGCGGTTTGAAAGACAAAAGATGCACAATTAAATCTAAAGAAGTAACAATATAAAATAAAGGAGTTTATACTACCATTTCCTTGTGTAATGCAAGCTTACAGGATACAGAAGAAACAAATCTTTGTTTGCATACTATAATCTATATTAAACAGACGCTTAAGAAGTCAACAAATTCAATGTGTTAAGAAGCAACCTTTTAATAAGGAAAGCAGAACCATACTTTGCTGTTAACAAATATTTTGAAAAAGGCTTATAAAATTAAATCCAAGCCAATTATCTGGTGCATCTGCAGCTGAGAAGGAAGTGTCAATACTCCAAACATCTGCTCAGTTTGTGTCCTCTCCTTCCTTACAGAGGAAGTATTAGCTTCCAGTTGTACAACTGATTAAGAGAGCAATAAGGTATTGCTCAACAAAAAATATTTTCTTAGATTATTACAGACTAAGGCCAAAGAAGAAATTCGTATGTTAGGCACCATTACCGACATGGAAGCCTGTCAAAGATACCAGTTTGAATAGCACAGCTTTCTTCCTTGCCCCCCACATCTAGGGGTCAGCTAACCACTGGCGGTGAGGCTCGTGCGAACAATGAAATCTAACCATCACGGAAAGCACACTCCAGTCACACTGGAGTTGACTGATACCAGAGACTGGACAGCAGGAAGACCTCGATGTTTTCCATAATGAAGCTGAAGGGTGAAGAGTCCCAAAGCACTAGAAGGAACAGAACACAACAACAACAAAAAATTAGCTCAGTTTCAAAACCAACGTCCTTTTACAGGCTCAAGGTATGAACAAGAAACCACCCCTCAAGGCAACAGAGCTATGATCCCCTCAATGCTGGCGCCACGAAATAGGCTTGTAGTAATCATTAAATATTAGTCAAGACACACAAAAGAAGAAAAAAAACCCTGGAAGCCATGGCTCCAGCCTTGTCCACTCACCCCCCGTGCCCCCCGGCGTGGTCCACTCAGCTGGAGGCCAGAACGCTGGGAGCACTCACAGGCCACAGCACCCGCAGCACCTAGGCAGAAGCAGGACGGGTTAGGACGGCGTTTCTCTGTGCTACAACTCTTCCAGCTGCTCTGAGCACTGCGCCTTCAGTGTTGAACAGACTGGGGAGGAGGGTAGCTTATTTTCTTGGATATTCAGGCATGGATTATTTATAGGTCATCGACTCAAACGTGTGAAAACTGAACAGACCATCCACCACGACCGGCCCATGCTTCCAGACAGGATCCATATTCTAGATGCCATCTAAACAGTTCCAGAAATAAAGATTAGGCTAAAACAAATGGTGCAAACTCCCCTGCACCTTCTCAACCCATCCCCCAAGTATTCCGCTGGGACTTGTGTTATCCTCATACAAACCCTCTTTTCATGAGGCAGCAATGACAGGACTCATTTACTTTGAGGGTTTTACTTTGGCCCTCCTGGCTTCTATCATAACCTCAAATATTACATTAAAAAGGCTTTTAAAACATAACATTCACAGCAGCGCAGGAGCTTTTCATTGCAGCTAGCTTCTTCCCTGCCTGTTTGCGTGTGGCACCTTCACATTAAGTGCATGAGTTAAGATGTAGATTAGCAAGGCAAGAAACCTTTGCCCTTGGCATCGACACTCAGCTGTGACAGGAAACTTCAGGCTTTTTTTCTATGAAGTGTAGAACCACTCATTACACATTGGCCGGGAAGTGCACATCTCCAAACTATACACATTTTCTCTTAGATAAGCAAAAGACTCAAGTGTTTATAAATATGAAAAGTTCAGCAGCTGGCTAAAAAGTTAATTCTCCAGTCTCACTTAATGAGCTTTGGGGAAAGTGGTAGGGGGATTTGTTCAGAAAGTAAAGCAGAGTGTCACAGAAAGCAGGACTTGCCAGACGCGGCTCTGTTTAGTCCTATTTTCTGTCTCTAGATGGCTGCTATCAGCAAAATGGCAAGGAATCCTCTAATGGGGAGCTACAGAACGACCAGAATGAGAAATGTTTTCTCCTAATCTTGCAATCATAAAAATTAGCCAATTTTTAATTTAAGTCCCATGACTTCTTTCTTTGTTGTGAAAATATCAAGCAATCCATATCAAAACACTTTGGAACATGGACTGTCTTAGGATTTTGTCCAATTCCCTGAACAAGGAAGTTGTTTTCAGTAGGATTTAGCAGAACACTGCTGCAGTATTTTTTCAATACTTTAATATTAACTAATACTCATCTATTCCAGTAGCACAAGGTTCAGACTTAAAAAATGGGATTGATTTGCTCGGAAAGTAAGCACATTGGTTGCTTTCAGGAACTTCTGAGAAGACTATTTACAGTGCCTGCTGTCACTCTGCATCTCTAATTTTCTTGAAGGCAGACTTCTCAGTGTCTTTATAAGATACTACAGAAGGAATTGCGCAACATCACTTTTGCAAGATGATACATAGCTACCCAGTACTCCACCTATGTAGTTATTAAAAAATAAAAATTCATACTGAATGGAAAAATCATCAGACCCTTTTGTCTGCAGTTTCAACAGAAATTGTTTTATGTAACAGAGTATTTTTCAGCTTGCTCAGTGACTGTCTAGGTTATTGTCACCCCTTTTGCGTACCTCCATCCTTCTGTCGCTTACTGAGAAAATTCTGAACAGCAGCTACTTAAGAAACAGAGCTGTCTCTGATGATCAAGAACAGAGTGATTCTCCAAGAGATCAGAAATCTAGCTGAAACCAACAGCAAGGCTGAGTTCTTACCCACTGAGAGCGATTGCACTCATACTGCACGTCATACGGAGCTCTCTACCACTGCCTATTCCACTGTCCTCACCTGCACTGACTCACATGGTACATCTTTCCTTAGTCAAAGAATATTAGAAGTCTGAGTTTGAGAGAACTAACAAGCCACAGTTGGCTCTAACTGGATCCGTAAATGCTAAACACTTCTGCCAGCACCAGTCCCTAGTGCCTGCAAACCCTTCCACCTGTGCAAGACAACGAAAATCCCTCTGGCGCCTGGTCCCATGGCCAGGGAGCGTGGAGGCAGGACTGCCTCCCATTCCAGAGGGAGCCGACTCACAGCCGGTGCCAGTGCTCAAGTCTCTGTTGATGGTGTATTATGCTGTATACATTGGAACTAGTAAATGCTTCAATGTGATTTTTGGCCACTTGGAATATTTTTAGCAATTTGCCAAGATTTACCCTGTGATTTATTATGGAGGAAACAAACTCAAGCACTAACAAATGAAAATATGTAAACTCTGACTTTTCAAGTCAATAGAAAGGTATTCAACTTCTTAAAACCCTTTGGAGGCATGCACTTTGCTGTAGATTCAATTGCTGGAAACAACAGTTTGATTAAGAAGCAACTGAAATGTAATCTAAATAGTCATATTTAAGTCACTTAGAGATTTATAGCAAAAAATTCCATATACACAATACTTTCCAATTGTCATTCCTAGAACTGTGTTCTAGATTTGTTGGAAATATATTTTGTATCGCTTTTTCACTAAGGCCAAAGCACTCCAGGTATCTACCATCTGGAACTTTATTATCTCAAATTACTATATGTAATAAGTTAAAACACAGTTATGAAAAAATACTTGAAATAATGAAATACACAGGGAAAAAAAATTCATTTAGAAAGTTTAAAGCACTGAAATTACCTGCAGATATAACACTAGATACAGCAAATAGTAATTGTTTTATTACAGTATCCTTTGGTGGAGAGGCGGGTGTCATTAAAGAGAAGGTAAGCTTCCATTTTCAGTATGAAAATTCAACTAGATGCTACTGCCACATACCTCCAGAACACAAGAGATAATGCTTTATAAAGCGTTAGCAGCCATCACAGCATCATCTATAGTTAAAATACTGAAGCAATCTATGAGATTGCTTTATAATTGCTTTATACATGAGATAATGCTTTATAAAGCGTTAGCAGCCATCACAGCATTATCTATAGTTAAAATACTGAAGCAATCTATGAATAAAATTGGAAGTGTTAGTTTGATATCGAATATCATTGTTTCTTACAAGTTTTCTGAATGCTTCTGAAAACATCAGGAATGGGATCAAGAGTACAATAATCTAATAATTAAAATAAGGAAGAATATTAGTCATTAGAGTATGATTGGGAGTTAACATTAATTCTATCTAAAATAGCAGAATACTGGAAGATGGTATTTCCTTCTCAGCTGTCAATCTCAAGAGATTAATACAGAATTCACTTCTTGTCTGTTTATCTCAATACACAGTTTCCACTTTTGCCAGTAGTAAGCCAGCACAGTGAGTGGCAAAAACCCCTTTGTCTGTGCCTGCCACTACTGTGACTTGGTTGGTGGAATGATGTGGCAATATGCATGCTTCTTGATCATCCTTTCAGCTGAATAGACACTATCCATCCTTTCCTATAGAAAATAAGTGAAATAAACACACTGCCAAGTGACCAAACCCTGGGAGTTTTTTCCCCACATTTGGACATGTCACTTGACATTCAAAACGCCATTATGCAAAGCCAACTAACTCGTACAAAGTCTTTTTTGGTTCAAGAAACCCAGCAGAGAACTTCACCAAGCAATTCTTTGTTAGCATAACATTTGACCTTGTATCTCTTTGGAAATCATACAACTTTGCTAATGCAGCCCTTACAGAATTAATCAAGCAGATAGTTAGACCCTAGTTACTATGAACCCAGCCAATTATGAGCAGCACTGAAATTTGTCACTGGCATGTCCAACTACATTTTCCAACATAAAGATCAACAGAACTGTGTGGAAATGAGGCCCCACTCTCAGACCTGCATGACTTGGACACTGTAGACTAGAATCGCTAGCAAAGCCAACGCTTTTAGAAACAAAGTATTCTTAAGAAAAAAGGCTTACCTCCCGGGTCTCCATTACCTGCTGCATTAAAACAGCAAGAAAGCATAACACCTTTCACCCTCTATTTTGACTAGCAAAGCTAGAATAAATGATTCATTGAGGGTTCAGAGCTCTTTATTTGCCACTCCGCTCTACTGCATAAGATCCACAGTTCAATAAAGGCCAAATACACCGCATGGCTTAGTTTGAAAGTGGGGAGGGGAAGCTGCCTATGCAGCTTCTCCCTCTGTCGAAGAAAGACAGCACAGCTTTCAGCATCCAGGGAAAGATGTCAAGGTTACAGCCAGAAGCATTATTAACAGATAAGCAAGGAAAAGAAGCCCTAAGAAGAGCAGGGCAGAGAGAAGGAGAAAGGAGATGGGCACAGAAGACACCCATAACAACAAATGGCTCAAAAGCAGACATATTTAGATATATTTAAAGCAGCACAGATTAGAAACGTATCTAGCTAAAAGCCTGATTGACAATTTCTATCCTTGAACAGGTACTCAAATGACAGAACTGTGGTCACTGAACATGTTCTCCATTTAGTAACTGGAACCAGATGAGATACAAAACCATTGGGTCTGGTTCCCAAAAGGCAAGTGACAACTAACTTCTGAACGTGGCTTGGAAGTTAACAATTGCTTTACCCCTGTTCTCGTCTGTTCCATTCACATCATGCTACTAGTTTCCAATGCTCAGCAAGAGACCTGTTTTTCCTGCAGTCCAGCCTGCCTTTTACTCACTTCTCAAAATCTCCAGTCAATGCTTTTTTTTTTTTTTTTTGAGGCTCTTGCACTGCAGTCTCCCACTTCTGTGAGAATAAAATCCATACTCACAGTGCTCTGTGGCAAAATTTCTCTGGTGCTGAAATGCTGCTCTCTCACCATAAGAGTGCAAATTAAAGCCATGGTATGTCATAGTAACAGGTCACCTTCTCATCAAAATAGACATTTTGCCCAAATTTCAACAAGTGTTTGTCACTAACTAGATTCTTACAAAAGGAGATAAAATAATTCATGCTGCACAAGCATGAGACTGACTACAGCCTACTTCACCATGGACCTCGAAACTCCCAAAGATCCCTTACAAGTTACCTAAATAAGCCCCATGACAGAGACGATACTTACAGCTTTAGCAAAAATGACCATCAGCTCAGGGAACTGGTGCGTGAGGAGGGCGAGCATTGCCGAAAATGAACATAGGCCTGCTGTGAAATGGATAAAAAAGGGAAGTTCCTTCTGTGGGTAAACGGAGACTTCGTGAAATGCTGAAAGGAAAAAATGAAGAATGTTGACATTTGACAATCGAGGACAGTTTTCTGCATTATTTACACAGTCTTGTAACTTAGTTCTAGACTTTCAGAAGGAGTAAGTGTGGACTCAAGACTATTGTGCAGCACATTAGGTCCCAGTACTTAAACATCTCAAAAATTTTTCCCCTACATTAAATGCTTGTCTCCATTATTAATAGTCACTACATCTTTCTCTCTCCAGTCTTCTTTTTCACTTGCATGCGCTTTATTTTTGAAGCATTTCATTAGGCTTAGTTTTTGGTACCTACTCTTTTAACAGGACAGAGGGAAGAACTGTAAAATTCACAAGCTGTCAAAATTACCTAGACCAATTTAAACAATTCAGGTGTTTTCAACCCTCTGAAGCATTAATCTTGTTACCTAAAGAGAACAGCACATCTCCCCATCCTAGAAGAAGCTCAGCAAGTACAAAACCACCATCATGTTATATATACATGCGAGGTAGCTCCTTAATATTTTTCAAAGATTTCTGGTTGGTAGGCTATAGTAAATTTTTCAGAGCAGCTGACAGAGTAGACCTCAAAGAAAACAGTACCAGGACTAGGTTATAAATTCTGTACATAGCAGCTCCTTGCAATTTCCAATCTATGGTAACAAAACCAAAAGAAGGTGATTAGACAGGCTAAGGGCTGGCATATGGAGCTTTCAGCACTCAAGACACTACTACTGGTTACTAGCTGAGGACCTGTTTGGTGAATTTGCAATTACTTACTGGCCCTGAATACCTGCAGCTCTGACTTTCATCCAATGATTTTAAAGGGCTTTTAAATGAAGAAAAAAAAATAGTTTCTATAGACATAAGTAATTATGAAAGGGCTGCACACTTCTTGACAAGCCATTTTTAAAATCTAACAAAAGCCTCAAAAGTTAAGTAAGCCTTTTCATAAAACAAGAAAATACAATTGTATTCATTTTTAAACGGAAGTCTGAGGGGGAAAAAGACACTTTACCCTCCCAGTTACTGTTTCTGAATGCTGGCACATGAAAGCTACCATTATAAGAGCAAGCCCAGCAGAAGTGGCTTGTGCTTGTTGCAACTCATTAATGGCAAAGCGCTTGGGTTTTGTTTTGCTTTTAAGTATACGATTTCGGGGTGCAACTAAGTAGAACATTTGAGTTCCATGTCTAATACCCATCAGAGATGTTTAATGTTATCCCAGAGATTATCAGTTCACCTTCTTAACATGCAACCAGCCCTGCTAAGCCCATGATGCAGTATGACAGTAACACACGCCTCTTTACTGAGCAACCAAAGAAACCACTTGTCTACTATGGAACACTGTTACGCTCTCATACTATGTAGAAACTCACCTGATTTTTAAAACATGGAGCAATATAATTTAGTAAAGGTCCCAACATAAGCTGGGAAAGTGTAAAAAAAAATAAAAATAGGAAGGATTCTTTTTGCACCAGTTTTTCCCTA